TGTCATTAATTAAAAAGATGAACTTACAAATAATCCCAGGGTCTTGGAGTAAACAATCGTAAAAACGCAAGTAAATTCGTCCCTAGGCCTCTCCGTAATGTTCGTAACCCCCCAAACGGGGTTATGGAGGCCTTATTTATAGAAAACAACGAATTCGGGTCGAATTAGGACAAATCGCGGCCAGGCACGGTGCCAGGCACGACCGTGCCTGCGACCGTGCCTACGGAAGGAGGCCGAATTTCGCGTCCAAGCACGGCGTGCCTAACTGCCAGGCACGACCGTGCCTGGCCTCCAGTAGCTCGTTTCTTCGAAATATGCCAGGCACGGCGTGCCTAGCTGCCAGGCACGGCCGTGCCTGGCCTCCAGTAGCTCGCAGGAAAATTTCGCATCAGGCACGGCGTGCCTAGCTTCCAGGCACGGCGTGCCTGACCCTATTCTTCACTTTTCCTTCGTTTTCTTGCTCCGAATGCTCCCGGATGCCAATGAGGTCGATCCAACTGCTCTTTCTTCACCAGAATTTCGTCGCGAATCTCCCGGTGGCCTCCAAATCTTCCAAATCTTTCTCGAATGCCTTCAAATCCTTCCCGAATGCCTCTCAAGCGCTGATTGCCGGATTCTAACTTCTTCAAATCAACTCCAAATGCAATGAAACTCGATCCAACGCCTGCTAAACACAACTTGAGCCAAAATTGAGACTTGCAACGCCTTAAAGCCAAGAAAACCATCAAAATCCGACCCGAACACGCATCGAATGCGTGTCTAAATACGGACTTATCAACCGTGCATTAATAAACCAAAGTTACTTACTTGTGAAACCATCAACGATTAACCATCGGTTCGTTGATCGTTTCTAGTAGTAATTAATGTCGAGATGTTAACTAATTGTCATCTTAGCAACACTCCCCAACATTGATATAGAGATAGATTAAGGGAAGAATTAATATTCAAGGAAGAAGATTAAATATGAATAATCCTACAATAACTAATGTCAAGATGTTATCTAATTGTCATCTTAGCAACACTCCCCAACATTAATATATAGAGGAAGAAAATAAATACTACTATAACTAATGTCGAGATGTTAACTAATTGTCATCTTAGCAACACTCCCCAACATTAATATATAGATAGATTAAAAGAATAATTAATATTCAAGGGAAGAAGTTAAGAAAATAACTCACAACTTTAATAATCAACAAGCTTCAAGAGCAACACCAAGAAATGGAAGTTTAGCTCCTCATTTGGAGACTAAACATGCTAAAAAAAATATAAAAGAAATAATATTCTAAGTTGAGCTTAAGAGTATGGAAGAAGGAGTTGTCTTTAATGAAGGAAAAGTGTGCTATTTATAGGTGTTTTTCAACACCTTTGGCCGAGTACCCGACCGGGTAGAGTATCTACCCGACCGGGTACTGGTCCGAATCAAATATTTTCCATGTTCTAATGTTCTTCAGCACGCCGGGTTGTCTTCGGTCAAGTCTCACCCGACCGGGTGAGGTATAGGGCCCGACCGGGCCAAGCAATTTCCTGGAGACTGCAAATGTTAATTCAAACCCGACCGGGTGAAGGTTTCTACCCGGTCGGGTTTATTCTTCTGGGCAGCATTCTCCTTGTTTTTCTTCCTTTTCCTTGCCAACAATTCTACCAAAACTTCCTAAGCCACAAATAAAAGCTAAAAACACTTACAAATAAAAAGTAAACAAATGTTTACAACTACACACAAATGGTAAACAATCCACACAAAACAAGATATAAAAATACACATTTATGCACTACTAACTAGTGCATATCAAATACAAGCAAAACGGAAGAACCTCATTGTTCACTATAACATCTAATATTATATATTCCATAGGGCATATTATGCACATTGGTATCAACGATAATGTTTTCAAGCTTTTGTGGGTGTAGAATGTTGAGATGAATTATAGTGTAATACCACCTTTTGCATGCACCAGTTACGATTAAAATCATTTAAACATCCTAAAATGACTAAATAGGAGAATTTCTATGGAAACATCATTTAAACATCATAAAATTGGAGAATTTCTATAAAATTCTATGGAATATAACTTTTTAGAAAAGTGTAGAGTTTTCTAGAACACTAAGAACAATTCTAGCTAGAGAATTGTAAAACTCTCTATAAACTTGTGAAATATGTAGTTTGGAACCCTGTAGAATATTGTGGAAATGTGCATGTGAAACCTTTTAAAATCTTATGCAAGGCAGTGTAAGAGTGTTGAGGGTCCTAGAATGAATGGAGTATTCTACATAATTAGTCTGCATCTTGGATAAAAATATTATCCAAATGGAGTACAAATTATGACACAATCAGCCCAATGAAATCAAAAGTTAAGTTTGTGGTAAAAAATAGAGTCACCCAACGGCTATAATTCTTCGACTAGGAAATGCTAGTTGCATGTTTAATTTGTAGCTTATGTCAATTGATTCCGCCATAAAAAACATCAACAGTTCTTGGTGTACACCCATTTATTTACCCTTCTCACAGACAAAAAACACACAAATACAGACACTTTCATTGAAAGTGTCGGTGTGAGTAAAATTAGTTTCTAGATATGTCAGACTGGTTGCACGGAAACCAATGTCGGTGTACACAAACATTAGTTATCTGTGTAAACAAAAAAGTGTCGGTGTGAAAAATTAATTGGAAAACAAGTGTCGGTGTACACAGACGTTAGTTGTCTGTGTAGACAAAAAAGTGTCGGTGTGAAAAAATTAGTTGGAAAACAAGTGTCTGTGTACACAGACTTTAGTTGTATGTGTAGACAAAAAAGTGTCGATGTGAAAAAATTAGTTGGAAAACAAGTATCGGTGTACACATACGTTAGTTGTCTGTGTAGACAAAAAAGTGTCGGTGTGAAAAAATTAGTTGGAAAACAAGTGTCGGTGTACACAGACGTTAATTGTCTAGTATAAAAAATGTGCATGTATATATACAATTTTCGTCTATGTACACAGACACTATAGCAAACCAGTGTCGGTGTGGATAAAACGTAAAAAGTGAGAAAGAAAGAAAAAGAAGAAGATGGTGATGAAGATAATGAAGATTATTAGAGTGAATAAAACCTAAAAAAGAGAAGGAAAGAAGAAGAAGAATAAGAAGAAGATGAAGGAGAAAAGAAGAAAGAAAGAAGAAAGAACAAGATGTTGAAGAAGAAGAAAAGGAAAGAAGAAAGAGAGGAGGGAGGGGGATCCGTATAATTCAAATGGGAGAGGAGTGGAGAGAAAAAAGTTGGGAGGAGAGAAATAAGAAATGGGGGGTTAGATAGGGTGTACACCAAGGTGTAACCCAAGGTGTACCAAAAGAATTTTTCTTTATATTTTGAAGTACACTAGTGTATACTAGTATGAGATAAAATATGAACTTATTTCTAAGTATCTTGAAAATGTAAAATGCTTCAATACTATGAATGAGTAGACGTAGGATAATAATTTTTTTTCAAAAAAAAATCGTAATTTTTATATTTATAAATACACCCATGTAACTTTTAATATTTATAAATATACCCCATAACTTTTAATATTTATAAATATGACTCCGTATCCGTATTCTACTTTTTTTTGTTTTGTCGTATCCCATACCTGTTTTTGCGTTTCCGCATACCCGTATTTAGGCATGGCCTCGGTTCGGGCCGCCCGGCCCGGGACCGGCCCGACCCACTACTGTGCGGGCCCGGCCCGGTCCGGCCCGGTTTTCCGGGTCCGGTTCGGGCCGGAGGCCCGGGGGTGGGGCGGTTCCGGGCTCGGTTCATGGGTTTGACGGCCCGGCCCGGCCGGTTCGGGCCCGGGTCCGGGCCAAATCTATTTTTTTTTAATTTTTTTCATTTTTTTGGGCTGTTGGGCTTGGGCTATCTGTTTAGGCCGGTTTGGGGGGGTTTGGGGGGGTGGGGGGTGGGGGGGGGGGGGAGAAAGGAAAAAAAATTAAACCGGGTAGCCCCCGAACCGGACCCGGGACCGCCCTACCCCGGTTCGGGCTCGGGCCTGCTATTACTGAACCGAGGCCCGGCCGGGCCTAGGCCCGAGGCCCGAACCGGCCCGGTTCAGTCCACCACTACCGTATTGGTGCTAGATAGGGTATTGCACTATTGCGCATAAGAAAAACATATCGCAATTCAATGTGGAGCAGCTATTATGCAACACGAACATGGCTTTATCATGTTCCGCAATATCAGCAACCTTGAACCTAAATTTACTCCACTAGATCGTAAGTTAAGTCAAACAATACCAAAAGTATCAAATCACTCCTCAAACTAACATCAATAATTCAAAACACACCTCGTAAAAAGAGAGTATCACAAGGGAGAGGTCCTGGGTTCAATTCCAAGCAATGATTTGGAATGGAGCCCCACTCACTTTCCATAGAGTGGGATCAATTTACATCCTCCCAGCTAGCTGTCCGGTCGGTGCTGGGAGGCCCTCAGAGATGGGGTGTCATCTTTTTTTCAATAATTCAAAACACACCCCAAAATTAAAAAAAACTTCCAATCAAACGCTCTAAATCGGCTATTAAGTGCAAATCACCCCTTCAATTAAAAAAACATGTAATCAAATTTTCCAACTCGACAATATAGCGCAAATGGCTTTTCTAAGTTATAATTTACCGGTTAAAGCTGATGTATGTTATTTATCAATTTTTTTTTACTCCAGGGGGGTCCGAGGGAGGGGGGCTGGGGGGGAGCATGGAGTACTCAGGGCTGAAACTCAGCCCATTGAGTTTAAAACCCCCACTATGCACGGTAACCTCGCAACTAGCTAGGCTGGAGTGCTTGGTTATTTATAAAAAAACAAAAATTAACTATATTGGTTCATGTGCATAGATTCATGATACTTATGGTACAATAAAATCCCAATTGAGATTAGAAAAATTTAGATGCATTCGTAACGGATTCCGTCACCATAACATTGACCAAAAGAAATTAACAAATTAAGCAATCTGTAGTTGCTATAAAATGAGCATAAGTCTTTCACACTCCCATCCCATTCGACGATCTTTGACTTTATTTATCTCATCGGGAAAAAAAGTCAAGTTTTGATTATCAGCTAGAATCCATGGCCGCAGCGGAAGGAGTGAAGGTCCCGAGAATGAAGCTGGGTTCACAGGGGCTGGAAGTGTCGGCCCAAGGCCTGGGCTGCATGGGCATGTCCGCCTTCTACGGCCCGCCCAAGCCGGACGCCGATATGATCCGCCTCATCCACCACGCCGTCAACTCCGGCGTCACCTTCCTCGACACCTCCGACATGTATGGCCCCCACACTAACGAGATCCTTCTCGGGAAGGTATGCCGTTACCAGCCTATATATACATATTGCGGTCAATGCAGAGTAAATTAATTTTAAAAAAATAATTTTATAAATGTCTATCTTTAGATGCATTCTAATAATTGCAAATATGCAATATTTGTATAGAAATTGTCCTAAATAGGACTAATAAGTTCCTAAAAAGCACAAATAGGACTACTATTTTTAAAATTCCCTAAATAGGACTAAACATTGATTTTCTACCCTAAATACCCCTAAAAGTATTAATTCATAATGAAATGCTTTAATTCATAATAAAATCATAAAAAACGTAAAAAATATTTAAAAAACGTAAACAAATTATAAAAAATTTATAAACATTTATAAAATAAAAAATTTAATTTTTTATTTTTTAATTATTTTAAAAAAATAATAAAAAATAGTAAAAACCCATAAAAAATGAAAAAAATTATGGATACCTTTCTCACCGCCTCCCGCCACCTCCCAGCACCACCACCTCCGATTGGTGAAATTTCTTCCACTTTTGGTAAAAAAAATGCCATATTTTTCTGAAAATGCCAAAAAGATGGCATAATTACTCTTCAATATGCCAACATTTTCATTGAATATGCCATCATTATGGCATTATTTAAAATGTTGGCATATTTTTCTCAGGTGATGGGAGATGGTGGTGCTGGGGGTGGCAGGGGTGGTAATGTTTTTTTTTTTAATTTTATGATTTTTTTTATTTTTTTTTATTTTTTTTAAAAAAATATTTTTTATTTTTTTTTAAAAATATTTTTTTCAATTTTCTATTATTGTTTTACGATTTTTAGTATTTTTTTCGATTTTTATTAATTTTTTTATGATTTTATTATTAATTAAAACATTTCACAAGTTACAAGGGTATATTTGTCCAAACAAATATAAATAGTCCTATTAAGGGAATTTAAAAAATGTAGTCCTATTTGTGCAATTTTGCCACTTTTTACTCCTATTTAGGGAATTGACTCATATTTGTATCATATGAAAGCCCATAGAAAAATAAAAATTGATAATGGCTTTTTTTGAAAAAAAAAGTTGGATCATAAATGAAAAGATTATAAGTTGAAAAACAAAAACAAATTGACATGCCATATACTACCTCATCCCATTTTATGTGTCTTAGTTTTACTTGACACGATTATTAATGAAGTGGTTAGAAAAGAAAAAGTTGTGATTGAAATTTGAATATAATAAAGTGAAATGGTGTAGACCACATATTTCTTTCCAAAAAAGAAAGTAGACTTTCATTTTGTGACAACCCAAAAAGGAAAATAGGACAAGTAAAATGGGACGCCGAGAGTAGCAGTTATGGTAGCACAATAGGGGTGATGGTGAACATTGTAGGGTGGGTTTAGGAAAATAAAGAAAATTAATTAAAATAAATTAATTAAAATAAAATGACTAGAGAAAAACAAGAAAGGAGATGAAGCAGAAATAGTCAAAGCTCGTGCTGCGCACGATTTCCTTAAAACGTATTTGTTGCCTCCCACGGTGCTAGGAGCGTTGCAACAATAGTTTCCCAGGATACGATGACTACGAACTAATGTTTGAGCACACACACACACCCCCTACGCGCGTGGAGAGAGCCTTTACCCTTAGGAATCTTAACTCCATAAGGGGGGAGTCCCTTTATAAAGGGTTGCAAATCCTTTGGGTTTTCCGGTGTGGGAAATTAACACTAGAAACACATCCTTTTTCCCAGTTTTTCCATTCTAACGGGTAAACTTCGAGAATCAATTTCTCATTCACCCGTTATCCGTTTTGAGCGTACCATATATCGAATTGTAGCCCTAAGTAAGGACAATCCGAAACCACTTTGACCCGACCCAAATCGGAAGTGGACCCCACTCAAAAAAATGCCCCAAAATAGCCATTTAATGCAATTTTTCACACATTTTTCCAACAAACATCACCCTCACAAGTGGGTGAAAAAATTTGCTCTCGTAGTATTTAGCCTTTAGCAATTGCGGGCTCCCATCAATGGGATCGGTAAAGTATGCATAGACAGGAATAAGGATGTTTTTACTTGGACTGTAATTTGCTGGTCTGGTGTGGTCTGGTCTAGTCTGATCTGGTCTGGTCTGGTCTGAACTGGTCTGGTCTGGTCAGGTAAGGTTTGGTTTCTTTGTATTTTTATAATTATCCAAGTCTGATCTGGTCTGATCTGGTCTGGTCTAGACTGGTCCGGTCTGGTCTAGGACAAATTACAGTCCAAGTATAAACATCCTAACTACTATACGTTTTATTCTCAAAATGGACCATGTTTTTAAAGGGGTTCAAATTTTCTGGTCAGATCTGGTGTGTTTAAATATGTTCTACTCTGATCAGATAAGAACATCTTTTATGCATATTTAGGGAAAAGTGTCAAATGGCCCCCTAATAATACGGAAAAGTCAATTAAGCCTCTGAACTCAAAAAACACCCAATTAAACCCACGAACTATAAAAAAACGAGGCAAAACAGTCCTTTTAGCATGTAACTAACCGATTCCAGGTAAACCTTTACACGTGGCGACAGCCGACAGGTGGCCACAAATGGCAACACGTGGCGACACGTGTGTGACACGTGGACTAATGGAACCGGGAACCGGTTAATTACATGCTAAAAGAGTTGTTTTGCCTCGTTTTTTATAGTTCAGGGGTTTAATTGGGTGTTTTTTGAGTTCGAGGACTTGATTGACTTTTTCGTATTAGTAGGGAGGTCTATTTGCCACTTTTCCCACATATTTACTATTGTCTAAGTTTGATTTGGTTTGATCTAGTATGTGTAAGTCCGGTATGATCAATTCTGAAATTTAAATCAATCTAATTAAAAACATTGATTCTATTGAGAGCGTACAGCTCTCATATTATGAGTGAGTGAATATGAGCCATATTTTAATTTTTGAAAAGAAGACAAGGGTGATCCTCCCGTTATTGCATTTTGTGATTTTGTCCATGTTTTACGTACTCCGGAATTTTCGATCTCATTTATGTTCTAAAGTGGAAATCTTGCGTGAAGGCATTGAAAAGTGGATTGAGAGAACAGGTTGAGTTGGCCACAAAATTTGGAATTATTTAGGGGGTGTTTGGATCTGATTCTCAAAAGTGATTCTGCTCCTTCGAGGAGCAGAAGCAGAAGCTGGAGTGTTTGGGTGAAATTCCAGAAGCACTTCTGGAGCTCTAATTTACTCTCAGAATCAGTTTTTTTAGAAGCTGGGGGGTACCAGCTTCTGAAAACTGATTCTGATTCTGCTTCTGCTTTTAAAAAAGAAGCAGAAGCAGAATCAGTTCCAAACACCCCCTTACACTACTGATGGAAAGATGGATACTTGTGGAGAGCCGGCCTATGTGCGGGCTGCATGTGAGGCCAGCTTGAAGCGGCTTGACGTCCATTGCATTGACCTCTACTATCAACATCGTATTGATACACGTTTGCCCATTGAAGTCACGGTTAGTCTCCCTTTTACCTCATACCTCCTACTTCGTACTCCCTCCGTCCCGCAAAGAAGTTCTCGCTTTCCTTTTTTAGCAGTCCCAAAAAAAGTTCTTCTTTCCTTAAATGGCAAGTTATATACATCAAAATTGTGCAAACAATGTCAAACAGTGTCGAAACAGTGTCAAAACAGTTAAATTTACCTCGTGTTAAGTTTATTTTCTTAATATGTGTGTAGGTCAAACCGGGAACTTCTTTGCGGGATGGAGGGAGTATATGATCGATCCGTAAAAATGGTCAATCCATATATACCACGGTCGAAGTTTAATGACTTTTTCAAGTGACAAAGATAAATTGTGCAATGTTCCTAAATTTATCCCTTTTTATACAAATGGAAGTCAAATAGTCAAGTAGATGATGTGTCTATGATAGTATAACAAGCTAGGTTTAATTTAGAACATACAATATCTATAATAATATAAAGTAACAAGGTGTAGCACCTTGCTTTTCCCTCCAATTAGACATTTAATGCTTGATACCCATTAAAAAATATGAGTTACATGAATATTGGAGTAAATCAAATATTTTCAATTCAAAATCTATCTATAATAATATAAATAAAGTAACAAGGTGTAGCACCTTGTATTGATGTAATACACATGCGCCCACTCAATACTCATCTAGCTAACACATAAGTTGATTCTTCAGATTGGATTTTCAAGTGAGTTGACTCAACAAAAAATGTGACTTCTGAAAAACTAATTTTGATTCTACTTCCGCTTCTAAAAAAGAAGTAGAAGTACAATCAATTCCAAACACGACTAAAATTAATAAGCAAACGTGCATGCAACTAAGCTAAGCGCGAACTTTATGCACGACAATTGCCCTACTGGAAAGCGTTAGTTTGTAATTAGTTGGGGTAAAAAAGCTCTATCCATCCACGTCTTTTGGGTCCAGTTTATATAGGAGAGAGTTAAGAGTCACACCTAAATTACACCATTTAATTATTCTTCAAATACTTTTCAACAAACAGTCTTAGCAGTCTTGATCAAACCCTAGCATTTGGTTTTCCGTTTATTTTCTAACCATGACCGTTCAATCCAAAGATAATTATTTCCATCAGTTCATAATTGTGTTTTAGTGACATTTGTGTCGCAAAATAAAAATCACCATTGTTATCCAATGAGTGTTTAATACTTCATCTCGACCTCGATCTCCATCACTTTGGTCTCACTAGCAAAAGATTGAATGAGTGATGTTGAATTGAATTTTGTAAAATTACCAAGTCACAAGAAATGATCAAATAAATATGATAAAAGTACAAGGGATAGTTGGGAAAAATCACTTTTTGTACACTGAAAATCTTCTTACCTATTTGCATTCCTCATTGTGCAAGATGGGAGAACTTAAGAAGCTAGTTGAAGAGGGTAAAATAAAATACATAGGTCTATCTGAGGCTTCAGCTTCGACTATAAGAAGAGCACACAATGTTCATCCTATAACAGCAGTGCAGTTGGAATGGTCTTTATGGTCAAGAGATGTTGAGGAAGATATAATTCCTACTTGCAGGTGCATTATCTATCTCCTCCAGTTTTTAACAAGGAATAAAAACTATGATCATGCTTATAATATTCTTCTAATTTATTTATTTTTAAATTTTCAGAGAACTCGGGATTGGAATTGTTGCATACAGTCCTTTGGGACGAGGCTTTTTATCATCTGGTCCAAAGCAATTTGAGGATTTCCCAGATGGGGACTTACGAAAGGTTTGTTTTTATAATACTCTGTAACTCTGTTCTTAATATAAAAATTTTATGGATCATGTCAACATTATGTGATCAGTTACAAAATAAGCGGATTGATTGATTTGATTAGATCTGATAAAAATAACTTGATTACCGACTCCAAACTTCAGGGAAGAGTTGCATTGTACTCTTATTCATGATGCCATCTATGGGAAGGTTTTACTCATATCTCGTGTTAAAAAGGATTTTAGTGTAACCAATGAGAATATGTACTCCTTTTCTGATGTACCATAATTAAAAATGAAAAACATTTACTCAATGCATAAAAGTTAAGTATGAATGTCATTCTGGTCAAAAGAGCACTTTAACTATTTATAAGGGAGAGCATCTTTATATTTGCATCTACTCGTTCAAGTATACCTATCTCAAATTCTAACCAACATTGGTATGTGTATGCTCTTTTATAGTTTTAGTCACATCGATTATTTGTTTCAACTGTACTACCTCTATAACACCATGGCAACTATGAGTTTTGAATTTTTTAGGAAGTGAGTGTTAGTAAACAAAATAATGTATTTAACCTTGCAGCATCTACCAAGATTTCAAGCAGAAAATATTGAGCACAACAAAAAGCTGTATGAAAGGATTGTTGAAATTGCTGGAAAGAAAGGATGCACTCCTGCACAGCTAGCATTAGCCTGGGTGCACCACCAAGGAGATGATGTATGCCCCATTCCCGGTACCACTAAGATTGAGAACTTTAACCAGAACATTGGTGCATTGAGTGTGAAGTTAGCAGCAGAAGACATGATTGGGCTTGAAAAAATTGCTTCTGCCGGTGTGATCATGGGTGATAGATATACGCCTGATGTGGCAACATGGAAACAATCTGATACTCCATCATTGTCTACATGGAAAGCTGCATAGCTGCTTCCATACTATGCACTGGTTTCTACTGTTTGCATTTTATAATGTGTGAAAATATGTTGGAACCTGCTTTTGAATATTTCCTTTTGAGAATAAGAACCTTTGAGGGGCAAAATAATACAATGTTTTTCATCTATTTTATTCACTAATGAAATGCTACTCCAGCTATTTGCTTGTTTGAAGCCTTGCTAGTAATATCTATACTTTTAAGTATCATATAATTTGAATGGATTATGACTTTAAGAAACTAATTTATTAAATCTAATCACTATTAAATAATTAACAAACAAATACAACATAATAGTTTCTTGAGCATTGCAAATTGTATTGGACAGCTAGACACTTCGCTTGAGTTGTGTCACTTCTTTAGGCTTGAGTTTAAAGGGCTTGATTTTTAAATAACACTCCGGACTTTCCCGCTTCGTGAAGTTAAGATAGGCACTTAGGAAATAAGGTAGCAATGGGAGCACACGATTTAAATTCTCCAATATGGAGATTCTTCCACTATACAAAAGAATAGTAGGGTATACAAGGATGTTACAAAATTGTCTCACTCAATGGTGGCTCACTCAAGCTTGAGGATAGGAACTTCTCAAGCTATCTCTCTTCTCTCTCAAAGAGGCTCTCTAACTTTCTCACTCTAGAAGTGGATTCACTCTTGGCTAAGATGGTTAGGAATGAAGCTCCTACCCCTATTTATACTACTCCACCTTCACAATTAATGGTGGGGATGATTTCTATCCAAGGGTGGAGATTGATTCTCTAGAATGCTCCACACACTCTAGGAGTCTCTATACTCTTCCACTCTCTTCCATATCCTTCCATACTCTTCCATAAGCTTCTGGAAGGTTCCACACATCTCTAGAATATTCTAGAGAATTCCACACCATTCCACAAACTTCTAGAGAGTTCTAGACTTCTCTAGGATTCTCCGGAACTTTCTAGAAAATTCTATACTTTTCTAGAAAGCTCTAGAATTTTCTAGAACCTCTCCAATTAAGGAGAGATCCCAACAAATCTCCCATTCCCGACTTAATTGGGGGGTAGTAGCAAACCTGCACCTTGACAGCAGTCTTCGAACTTGTTTTTCAGGATTACCTTGGTCATTATGACTGACCAGTTTTCGTATATGTGAACCTTGTCAAGATGCAATTTCTTTCCTCGAGAACTTCTTGGCAATATCTTTACCATGGGAGAGAATTTTTCTTCAAGGTGCATGCCTTTTCCTTGTTGGAATCCTTTGATGATCAACCGAGCTTTAGAGCGAGACTTTGAGCTTCTATCTTCGGTCTTGATTCGATACACCCATTTATTCTTCAAGGCTCGTCTCCCTTTTGGTAGCTCCACAAGCTCATAAGTGTGATTCAGATGCAAGGATTGCATCTCTTCTTGCATGGCTTTTCTCCACTCTTCTTTATGAATATCATTGATTGCTTCTTTGTAACTTTGCGGCTCCCCCTCATCCGTGAGTGTAATGTAATCTTCGGTGTTATACCAGATGGATGATCTTCTCTCCCTAGAGGATCGCCTCGGCTCTGGTGCTGGTAGAGAACTAGATTGAGGATCTTCCTGATTTGATTCATCATGAGTCTCTTGGTTGCTTTGCTCATGGTTTTCATCATCATTATCTTGATGTGTGTCATCCTCACGTTGAACTGGAGTTAGTTCGGTGTTCTTGCTTCTTCTCAATCTTGGCTTCTCCGAGTTCTTAATATCTTCAATCATTTGGTCTTCGAAGAAGATGACATCTCTGCTACGAACAACCTTCTTGTTGACTGGATCCCATAGTCGATAGCCGAATTCGTCCTGAGGTGAACGAAGGTAGATACACTCTTTCGTCTTTGCATCAAGCTTTTCTCGCTCATCTTTGGGAATGTGAACAAATGCTCGACACCCGAACACCTTAAGATGATTGTATGAAGCCTTTTTGCCTGTCCAGACTTCCTCTGGGATGGCTCCGTTCAAAGGGACCAATGGTGTGAGGTTGACAATGTCAACTACGTCCATTGTAGCTTCTCCCCAAAATGATTTGGGTAACTTAGCATGAGAGAGCACGCAGCGAACTCTTTCTTCAATTGTTCTATTCATTCTCTCTGCTAGACCATTTAATTGTGGTGTCTTGGGTGGAGTCTTCTCTACCCTAATGTCATATTTCTTGCAATAGGCTTCAAAGGGACCTCTATACTCACCTCCATTGTCCGACCGTACACACTTGATCTTTCGGCCGGTCTCACGTTCTACTTAAGCGTGGAATTCCTTGAAGGCGTCAAACACTTGATCCTTGGATTTTAACAGGTGCAGCCACACCTTCCTTGAATGATCATCAATGAAGGTCACGAAGTACAACCCAGAAGTGTAGGAGACGGCAACCTATTAATAATATATATGCACCCGTAAAAAGTGCATCAACCCATAAGTGACTCGGTATCGAGTAGGGGTGGGATCGGGATGATCCCGATCCCGATTGCCCAAATCCCGATCCTGTCCCGATCCCGATTCAAACTTCAAGAGGATCCCGTATCCCGTCCCGATTAAGTCGGGATCCCGACATTAAAATCCCGATTAAGTCGGGATCCCGATCGGGAATCCCGCTTAATCCCGCTAAATCCCGACAATGAAGTATCAAACATAAAATTATGTAATTTCTTTAGTTAAACGCTAACTTTGATATTTAGCGGTTTCAAAATTATTCTTTGTTCATTGTTATACCATATTTATCATCATCTACTTATAAAGTTTATTGTAATAATTATCCTCTCAAATTCACACTAGTACATACTTTTAGAATAATTTTTATTTGTAACTTCAATTAATTAATAGATAATTTTTAATAAGCTATCAAGGCTTAGTGAAACTTACTTCAAACATTTTATAAAAATCACTAAAAGAAGGATGTGTAACGTATATTATTTAAAATTCAAAACTAAGTAGACTCATTGAGAAACTTTGTGACCAATGAATATAATGTATAAATACATATTATGATTATTACTAAAGAAAGAAATCTTAGTCTCAATCATAATTTTTTAAAGAGTTCATCAAAACCGCAAAATTTGTAATATTGTTGTGATTTAGATTGTCGGGATCAAGAATAATCTCTATTTAGTTAGAATCCCAGATATTCATTTTCAGACAAATGCCGAATAGTTTTAGAAGTTTGATATTGTAAGATACTCGTAGTAAAAGATTAATCTATGTAAGGAATAAGTATTTAAAAAAGATATGCAAATATTTAGATACATATTCATTTTTTTATAAATGTATATTCATTTTTATATATTCATATATAATTATATACATGTGTATATATATATATATATATATATATATAATGTCGGGATGTTGGGATTTTCCCGATCCCGACTTTTTTTAAAAAAAAAATCCCGGTCCCGTCCCGACTTAGTCGGGATCGGGAAAAATTCCCGACTAGTCGGGATCGGGATTGTCGGGATCGGGATCGGGAGTCGGGAGTCGGGAGTTTTTTCCCAACCCTAGGACTATCGAGGCCTCGAGAAGCATGGTACGAGTCAATTCTAGTAAATGACGATGTTTACGTTTAGCAGCCCCATTTTGTTGGGGTGTGTCAGGACAAGATTTTCGAAAATAAATTCCATTAGTCGCAAAAAAAAAAATGTTGCATATTATTAACAAATTCACCACCCTCATCACTTTGAAAATTTTTAATTTTCTGATTAAAAAGATTTTCAACCAAAACTCTAAATTTTTTAAAGTGCATAAAAACTTCACTTTTGTGGCACATGGGGTAAATCCAAGTAAAACGAGAATAATCATCAATAAAGCAGACATAATAGTTGAAACCCAAATTAGAGCGAACTTGGGATTGCCACACATCAGAATGAATAATTTGTAATGGAAGAAAACAATTATGGCTAGCATCCATAAAAGGTAAACGTTGAGATTTTCCTAATCGACAACAACACAAGCATGAGTAAAAAGAGAGGTATTACATAATCATTGTTGACGTTTAAGAAACTGTAAAATGTTGTCACCACAGTGACCTAGTCTACGGTGCCACATAGGGCCAGAAGCTAAAACAGACGCTAATGCTAAAGGTGGAGATGATGGCAGACTGAGAGCATAAGAGTGGTCCACTACTGGTAGCTCGCAGAAGTACCGCCCCCGAGGCTTTGTCCTTAACCAAAAATGAATTTTTATCAAAAATGACATTGCAGTTGTTATCAACACATAGTCGTTGAATAGAAATTAAATTGTACTTTAACTGAGGCACATGATAAACAGATTTTAATGTTAGGGGGCGACCAGAAGAAGGTAATGCAACATCACCAACATGATAAATGGGTAAATGGGCACCATTAGCAACACTAACAGAATTATAGCCAGTATAAGTAGATTTATTAATTAGAATACCGTCTGATGAAGTCATATGAGAAGATGCTCCCGAATCAGGATACCATAATGCAGAGTTAGATTCCTCAGGAGTAGTCATCAAAGCAGGCTGTGTGCACAGTTGTTATCAACACATAGTCGTTGAATAGAAATTAAATTGTACTTTAACTGAGGCACATGATAAACAGATTTTAATGTAAGGGGGCGACCAGAAGAAGGTAATGCAACATCGCCAACATGATAAATGGGTAAATGGGCACCATTAGCAACACTAACAGAATTATAGCCAGTATAAGTAGATTTATTAATTAGAATACCGTCTGATGAATTCATATGAGCAGATGCTCCCGAATCAGGATACCATAATGCAGAGTTAGATTCCCCAGAAGTAGTCATCAAAGCAGGCGATGAGGGTTGTGTGAAGCGAGAAGGACAAGTAATAGCGGAATGACCTGCAGAAAAACAGATTTGACACACAACAAGATGGGAAACTGACCCAAGAATTCCTCCATATGATGATGATAACCGCTTTCGCGGCGTTGTAGTAAAACGGAGTCTAACCTTTCGGTTTTTCCCCGAGTATCGTGTCTCTCGAGGAATGGCGGAGGAGCTTCTTGATTTCAAGTCCAGTCACAGGTTATCGCAAATTATTGGAAGCTTTCCAAATTAAAACTTTTGATTGATTTTCTAAACTACTTTTTGGAAAAGAAAGTAAATTAAATTGTGCAAATACTAATGATGGCTCAAAAATAGACTAAAGGAAAAAATATAATATTAAACTTAAATGGATTGGTGCAA